ATGAATATTTTATGTGATTTATGGTTTTTAAATCATACCTGTAAACTCACATTTCAGCCAGGAAAGTTTTGATTTTTCTGTTTGATATATAACCCCCCGTATAGTGCCTGTAATAACATATGTGTTTACTTTATGTAATGCTATAATTCTGATGTTCCGCAAGCGCCACCTTGTGGCAAAGAGTGAATTTGCATATTCACTTCTATTCACATTTTACTCAGAACAGTGTTGTGAATGTTAACTGGCATATTAACAAGAAACAAAGAAAATCAAAATTTGACTAATACTTGTCAGAAAGCTTTAAAAATAAAAAAAGAAGCTTTTTCTGGGGTGGGGGGGCTACTGTAATGCTGTAGGCCAGGGGCCTCTGGTTATCTTGGGGTGATCAGCATGTGTTTGTGTGCAGCGTTGCCATAATCAGTGACGATGTAAGTGTCATTGCATTATAATGTTTTTGTTATCCTATCCAGTTGAAGCCACTAGATGCGGCGCTGCTGCATTGTTCAGTAAAAATGTTGTGGAAAAAGAGAACAGCAATGCGGAGAAGATGTTGTTTACATCAAAACTGAAACCAAGCCGTTCACACAGAACACATATTTCACGCATTTTCTAGAGGGACATCTATTACTGTTGCACTCGCGTCTCGCACAAAAGAGCCGTATGTTTAGACAGCCATGTAAAATTAATGCAAGTTTAACTTTGAAAAAAACATATATCGAGACTTTATACGCAGTTAGCAGTCACCGAACAGCCCACATTTATGCCAAGTTGCCAACATGTCTTGTTGTTTCGAGCTGCTGATGATGAATAATGAATATTTTATGTGATTTATGGTGTTTAAATCATACCTGTAAACTCACATTTCAGCCAGGAAAGTTTTGATTTTTCTGTTTGATATATAACCCCCCGTATAGTGCCTGTAATAACATATGTGTTTACTTTATGTAATGCTATAATTCTGATGTTCCGCAAGCGCCACCTTGTGGCAAAGAGTGAATTTGCATATTCACTTCTATTCACATTTTACTCAGAACAGTGTTGTGAATGTTAACTGGCATATTAACAAGAAACAAAGAAAATCAAAATTTGACTAATACTTGTCAGAAAGCTTTAAAAATAAAAAAAGAAGCTTTTTCTGGGGTGGGGGGGCTACTGTAATGCTGTAGGCCAGGGGCCTCTGGTTATCTTGGGGTGATCAGCATGTGTTTGTGTGCAGCGTGACAGTCTCTCTCTCTCTGTTTCACAGCAGTTCTGCGCAGACGTGGTGTCTGTTCTCGCCATGACCATGAGCAGCGAGCGAGAGTGTCTGAAATACCGTCTGCTGGGCTCACAGGAGGAGCTCGCCTCATGGGGACACGAATACGTCAGGTACGTCATGCTGAAGACAAACTGGAACTACTGAAAATCATTCAAATTAAGCTGGAATAAAAATAATATGGAATGAAGATTTTATTTGTATTTTTTTATTTTATTTTAGTTTGAACTTTAGTAATGTTTTTATGTGTATTTGTCATTTTTGTTAGTTTTGTTCATTTAAAAAAAATGTGAATTCTCTTTATTTATATTTCAGTTCAAAATATTTATAAATAACATGCGTCAAGCAGACCACATGCTTGTAATAACGTGTGTTTACTTTATGTAATGCTATAATTCTGATGTTCCGCAGGCGCCACCTTGTGGCAAAGAGTGAATTTGCATATTCACTTCTATTCACATTTTACTCAGAACAGTGTTGTGAATGTTAACTGGCATATTAACAAGAAACAAAGAAAATCAAAATTTGACTAATACTTGTCAGAAAGCTTTAAAAATAAAAAAAGAAGCTTTTTCTGGGGTGGGGGGGCTACTGTAATGCTGTAGGCCAGGGGCCTCTGGTTATCTTGGGGTGATCAGCATGTGTTTGTGTGCAGCGTGACAGTCTCTCTCTCTCTGTTTCACAGCAGTTCTGCGCAGACGTGGTGTCTGTTCTCGCCATGACCATGAGCAGCGAGCGAGAGTGTCTGAAATACCGTCTGCTGGGCTCACAGGAGGAGCTCGCCTCATGGGGACACGAATACGTCAGGTACGTCATGCTGAAGACAAACTGGAACTACTGAAAATCATTCAAATTAAGCTGGAATAAAAATAATATGGAATGAAGATTTTATTTGTATTTTTTTATTTTATTTTAGTTTGAACTTTAGTAATGTTTTTATGTGTATTTGTCATTTTTGTTAGTTTTGTTCATTTAAAAAAAATGTGAATTCTCTTTATTTATATTTCAGTTCAAAATATTTATAAATAACATGCGTCAAGCAGACCACATGCTGAAGACACAAACATTACACCAGTGTCACGTTTAACTAGAACTATTGACAATCATTTTCTTTGTCTTTGAAATAAAGCTGGAATAATATATAATGGAATAAAGATTTTTTTTTTAATTTTAATTTTAGTTTAAATTTGTGTGTGTGTGTGTGTTTTTGTTCTTTTTCCAAAAAATATTTCTAATTCACTTTATTTATATTTCAGTTAAATGTAAACATAAATTAGAAATGTTGCTTTGGCCACTAACTGAAACAAATTTAAATAGAAAAATTACTAAAACTACAACACATTTTGATTTATATATTTTTGGTTTCCATTTTTAGTGTAAGTTTCAGTAATATGTGCTTTTGTCATTTTTATTAATTTGTTATATTTCTATTTAGCGTTAGCTTATTTTTTTTTCCAAGTATAAAATATTTATAAATTATTAAAGAGAAAATTAGAAAGGTTGATTTGGTCAAAATTAAAAAATAGTTACTTTGTAAATGCAACAAATTACAATATTACACACAAGTGAATTATTTTTAAGATCAAAATGATTTTCTTCTCACTGAAACATGCTGCTTTGGATGTTTAAAATAATAATAAAAATGTCAAAGGCACATAATAAAATGACTAAAATGAAAACTGAAAATACAAAAAATAAATAATCTAATTCAAAATATTTTTTATAAATTGTATAAACAAAATTTAGAAATATTGTTTTGGCCACTATCTGAAATAAAATGATAAGCTTAAAGTAAAAATTACTAAAACTACAACTAAAATAAAAATAAATGAAAGCTAAATGTAAATATATATTTTTTAAAAACATAAAAATGACAAAAGTGCATAACAAAATTAGAAAAATCTCAACTAAAATAAACTTAACTTAAGCTGAATTAAAACTATGAAAATATACAAATTAAATTATATGTGTGTGTGTATAATATAATATATAAATTCTATTAAAAAGGTGAAAAATAATGAGTTATGGAAAATAATGATAAATACAAATGTTAAACTAAACATAAATGGAAACATAAAAAAAAGCACATAACAAAACCATTTGAAATTAAACGAACTAAAATTAAAATGAAAGTATATAAATTAAAGCTAATTCTAAATATTTATACATTCTAAAATAACACCGCATTAGACTAGAAACCAGTGATCTCTGTTTTATTATTATTTTTTATCTTTGTGAATTGTCTTGAAGTTTTTGGATTTCTACGAACCTCACAAGCTTCCCTTAGACTCGTATCTGTTGCTCAGAAGTGCAGTGTGGGAACTTCCTGGTTTCTAAGCAGTCTGTGATGGGATCTCGTGTGTGTTTGCAGGCATCTGGCAGGAGAGGTGGCTAAGGAATGGCAGGAGATCGAGGAAGGCGATAAAGCTCAACAGGAATTGCTGCTGAAGCTGGTCAAAGAGATCGTCCCGTATAACATGGCCCATAATGCCGAGCACGAGGCCTGTGACCTCCTGATGGAAGTCGAGCGGCTCGACATGCTAGACACGTACATCGATGAAAACGCCTACTCTAAAGTCTGCCTCTACCTGACCAGGTAAAAAAAGCTGACCTAACGCAAAGAAATAAGGCAACCTATCGCGCTCAACTTGTTAAGTTAACGCAACTAGCAACCGACAGCTTAAAAACTTTAGTTCATCTAATGAATAAAAGTCAGTCTATTGAGTTTTGAAAGATCTGTCAGATCAACCAAAGATTTTTTAGCAATTGGCAATGCCAATCTTTTTTAACAATCCTCTTTTTTTTTTTAGATTTGTTTATTTTCAAAGCCCACTACATAATATGGGTAGTATTGGCCTCTTAAAACTAAAGGCAAACATTTATGCTGATAGACAAATGTATTAAGTCCAGCAGTAGCACATATTCCTCAGCACACAATGATAAGGATCAAGTAAATCAGTAAAAATATGAACTCTGATCCACGTGACAGATTACTCACAGTGACAACAGCAGCAGCAGCATAAATTAACCCAGTAAAATGTAAAACAATGATAATGTTTTAATAATAATTAACATGTTTTCAAGCTCCAATGCATGCTGGGAACTTCTGCCATATTGTTCAATGTAAAATTGTTTGTTCAGATGACTCAATTTATATATTTTAATTAGGAAATGTAGTGGAGTAAAAGTAAAAGTTGCCTGAAATATAAAAACTCAAGTAACGTACAGATACTCCCAAAAAATACTTAAGTACTGTAACAAAGTATTATTACTTCATTACAATACACCACTGGCTCTACATGACAGCTAATGGACAGTGACAACAACAGCAGCAGCATAAATTAACCCAGTAAAATGTAAAACAATGATAATATTTTAATAATAATTAACAAAATGTTTTCAAGCTGCAATGCATGCTGGGAACTTGTGCAGTATTGGTCAGTGTAAAATTGTTTGTTCAGATGACTCAATTTTAGGGTTGCAAAAAGGTGGAAAATTTCCAGTAAATTTGGGAAACTTTCCAGGATTTTTTTTTTATATTCCAGGGATTTTTGGAAACATTCCAGGATTTAAAAATATATATATATATTCCAGGGATTTTTGGAAACATTCCAGGATTTTTTTTTTATATTCCAGGGATTTTTGTTCATGTAAAAAAATTATATAAATAAATTACATCTATTTTAATGAATTCATATAGATTTATATGTATTAATGAACATGCAAAAAGGTGGAAAATTTCCAGTAAATTTGGGATACTTTCCAGGATTTTTTTTTTTATATTCCAGGGATTTTTGGAAACATTCCAGATATTTTGGAAACTTTCCAGATATTTTGGAAACTTTCCAGGATTTTTTTTTTATATATTCCAGGGATTTTTGGAAACTTTCCAGGATTTAAAAAAAATATATATATTCCAGGGATTTTTGGAAACATTCCAGGATTTTCTTTTTATATTCCAGGGATTTTTGTTCATGTAAAAAAATTATATAAATAAATTACATCTATTTTAATGAATTCATATAGATTTATATGTATTAATGAACATTTATATTAAAAGGTAATTATCTATTAACACAAATATTTTTTGTCTTTGATCAAATGGGGAAAAATGTGCTTTTGTCAATAATGTGTATTTTATTGCAAACTCCAGCTGTGTGAGTTACGTCCCCGAGCCGGAGAACTCGGCTCTGCTGAAATGCGCTCTCAACATCTTCCGCAAGTTTAACCGTTACCCAGAAGCCCTCAGGCTCGCGCTGATGCTTAATGACGTGGAGCTGGTGGAGAACATCTTTACTTCCTGCAAGGACATGTATGACGCACATGCACAGTCTGTCTCGTGAAACATTCATTTCCTTTTGCTTAACACAGATAGTAACAGTCCGTGTGTGTGTGTTCAGTGTCATTCAGAAGCAGATGTCGTTCATGTTGGGTCGACACGGCATGTTCCTGGAGCTCAATGAAGATGTGGATGATTGTGAAGATCTGACGGAGATCATGTCCAATGTGCAGCTCAACAGCAACTTCCTTGCACTGGCTAGAGAGGTGATCACACTCTCTCTCACACACACACACAAGCACGCACACAAGCGCACACACACACACACACACAAGCGCGCACACACACACACACACAAGCGCGCACACACACACACAAGCGCGCACACACACATGCATCCTCAATACAGCGAACTGCTGACCAATACCATCCACAGCATCCTGTAAATCTGTCATCACGGCCATGGAAACACCCCCACACACACGCGCACGCACACACCCACACACACACACACGCACGCGCACACACACACACACACACGCGCGCGCACACACACACACACACACACACACAAGCGCGCACAAGCGCACACACTCGGACACACACACACAAGCGCACACACACACAAGCGCACACACGCGCACACACACACACACACAAGCGCGCACACACACACACACACACACAAGCGCACACACACACACACACACACA